GCAGGCAGGCCCCTCTGTGCACCTGTGTTTACAGTGTTCAGACTCTGCTCTCAATGTGTGTTAAGTCCAAGGAGGAGGAAGCCTTACCCCTTCAGGCAAGGAGGGGTTTTACATGACCAATCTGCTACCCGTGGCTGGTGGTCTCCAGGGAAAAACACCTGCCAAAGGTGAGAACAGGCATCTGCTGCTGCATGTTGGACATGCCCCTGTCCTGGTCAGGTCGGTCTCCCTGCCCCATGGCTGCATCACTCCTGAACCAACTGCCCAGGCATCGGCAGCATTAACAGCCTCCCTTCACCCCACTGGTGTGGGAGGGAGTCTTGCTCTGGGGCTGGAGGAGGACCACGCACACGGCCCCCTACCCTGGACACAGGAGGAGGCTTTTGCTATAGCTTCTTCCCATAGCAACCTGCGGCTCATACAGCATCTCTTCTGAACAGGCCCATTTTGTGACTGGGTCTCAGCTCCATCTTCTGTAAACTAGGATGATGGCATTATTCACTTCGTGGCTGTTTTGAGAGAACAAATGAGCTAATTCATGCCGAGTGCTTTCAACAGTGAATTCCTGATACATAGCAGGTACTTAAAATCCTGTTTTGGCAAATCATTTAATCATGTGAAAATTGTTGCAATAAGACATTGAATCTAAACCCATGATACCCACTTGTGAAAAATTCAGATGTATGCACAGAAAAACAGATAGGAAAAGGAAAAGGAATGCACAAAAGAGCTGACAGAGGTTAAAATATTTGGCATAACTATAGGATTTTTCTTTATTTTTCTATTTTGTTTCATAGTCTACATTTTCTGAATTGAACATTGAACAGTATGATACTTACAATCAGGAAAAAAAAATACAGAAATACTAGTAAATGCTGTAGAAGAGTCAAGTAAAAGGAGGGCTGGAAGATTCACTGACTTTAACAAGCAGATGATCTTTAAAATGCTTTTCAAAAATAAAAACCAGCAAAGTAATGGGGCAGAAAATAAATGAAATAGGATGAAGAGTGTGAGGAAGGGAGAAATGCCTAACTGGAGAGATCCATGGAGCTATGGACACGTGTGAAACGTGTACAGACATGCAAACACAGTCATTCCTGCGGCACACACATGCAGTGTCCACGTGTTCAAACATTCACACGTGCAGACACGTATGAGGTACTCAGGGATCACTGCTGATCAGGAATTTTAATTAACAGAAGGAGATGATAAAATCATTTTAATCAATATATTTACATAGATGTAAAACAAATTATATGTTTCTATCTAAAATATTTATATATTTAGATTTAAACAAAGACATAAAATGAAAATACTCTAGAGACATCCATACACAGACATGATATAGGTATGGTGCAGATATAGACAGAGAGAGAGGGAAATCTGCTGGGTTCAATTTGGACAGATTTTATGGGGGGAAACAGGAGGCAGGGTCTGCACAGGGAATAGACAGAGGCAGCTGGATGTGCTGGGCGTGAAGACCTAGCAGAGTCCCCAGCAGTTGGCCGGCACCCCTCGCCCAGCAGGGGGCACAGCTACTCCCAGGATCTTGTGGGCTCCTCTGGAAGCCCCGAAGCTAGAGATGGAAACAGCTGAGTGTGAAGAGTCTGGACAGCAAAGGCCAAATGTATGGTTTCTCTGCACTTCACAGGTAGATCACTGAGGCTCCAGGCAGGAGCCTGGGGTGACGAACAGCCATGCAGGCATGGCCAGGCCTCCTGGGCACCCATGCCACAGGGAAGCAGGTCATCCTGTCTAGTCACCAGGTGTCACTGAACTCTCAGTGCAGCAATACCAGGCAGTGGTCACTCAAGGACAGTGATCTCACCATGGTGAGGATGGAGCCAGCCAATGGGGCCAGTGTGAGTGAACCACAGCCTGTGCACCAGAAAAGAGGAGTTGCTGGAGGAGGGGCAGGTACCCAGGAGCCATCACCTGCAATGCTGTGCCAGGAGCCCTCATCTATGACACTGAGGAGCCAGGAACCTTCACCTGTGAGGCTGAGTCAGGAGCCCTCACCTGCGATGCTGAGTCAGGAGCCCTCGCCCACATCACTGAGTGGTGCCTCTGGGCCAGGCTATTTAACTGTGAGTAGGTCAATCTGTGAAGCTTGAACATTTTCTTTCTCTTTTTAAAGAAAATAAGGTGAAAATATCTTTTAGGTTTTTAATTTGTATTCACCTTTTAGAAAAAATTACTAGACTTTCATATAGTTTTTTAACTTACAGAAAAGCCATAAGAAAGGTAGCAGAAACTGATGTGTGTTGCATATTTATATGTTGCTTGTGTGTGTGTTGGGTGGCTTGTGTGATTGCATTTACACAGTAGAAGACATGTAACTTTTAAACAGAATTGGATATTGGTCTCAATATTTTTGTGTAAATGGACATGTGAACTTGAAGAAGTGTACGGTTCATTCCTTATTACCTGTCAGCATGCCCTCCTGACATTAAGATCCTGGTGCTTGGGCCAGCCCCGTGGCTCACTCGGGAGAGTGCGGTGCTTGATGGTACCAATGCCATGGGTTTGGGTCCCATATAGGGATGGCTGGTGCACTCACTGGCTGAGCATGGTGCAGACGGTGCTGAGCCAAGGGTGGAAATCCCCTTACCGGTCAAAAGAAAAAAAAAAGATCCTGGTGCTTCAGGGGAACACACACAGCACTTTAAGTGCTAAAGTGGTTTTTCAGATATTAAATAAATCACCCAGGTCACCAGTGGAAACAGTATCTGTAATCACCATCCACCATTTCCTGGTTTGTCTCAGCAGAGCTGTTCATGACACAGGGAACGGGGGGACAGGCCGTGGACTTGTGAAGCGATTCCCTGAAGTTCTGTGACAGAACGGGGAAACTGGTCATCCCCTGCCCTGCAGCCTGTCCGGGACCAGGAAGGGAAGGCTTGTAGCAGGATCTCTAGTGTCATTGGCTTTAATCAAGCTTTTTGCTGCCATTGTGCACAGATGGGGAGACACATGTGAAGGGGAAAATTTCTCCCCAAAGACTGTTGTCCCAATTCCTGGCCTGCCCTTCATGTTCTTATCATTATGGGCATCCCCTGGTGAGTCTCAAAGCCACTCCCCTTTGCTGGTCTGAAGGCCAATCCTAACCTACTTAAATATGTTCCAGAACTGAAAGAAAACAGTGGATATACGGGGTGAAAGAAATGAGGATCTTAGCAGAGAAATGAAAAATTAAGGAAAGAAATAAAGAATCAAAGAGAAATTCTGGAATTTAAAAGTAAAATATTTGGATTAAATAATTCACTAGATGCTTTTAATAGCAGCTGGAGACAGCAGATAAGAGGCCAGGGAACTTGAAGCCAATCAGCAGAAATTGTCCAAACTGAGTAAAAAAGGAAAACACAGGTAAAAATAGAATGAACAGAGCCTGTCCGGCCAAAATAAGCCACATAACATACCTAACTGAAAACACAGGAGGAGAGAGGAGAGACAATGGGGCAGGAAAAAAAACCCACAACAGGACCAAAATTTCCCTCAGTTGGTGAAAATCATCAAGCCACAGAAGCAAGAAGCTCGGAAAGCTGCAGGAAGACAATGAACAGGCACACGACAGACCCCGTGCAGAAAACCGAAGGTGAAAAAGTCCTTAAAGCAGCCAAGGAAAAGATGATTCCAAACCACGGCTTCAGCGGTGCTGCTGATGCGCGGGACACAAAGCGTCGAGTCCACAAAGCAGCAAAGGAGGAAAGTGAGCACAGAAGGCGGCAACGTGACCACAGTCTTCACCACGGCGGAGCCTCGCGGACACTCTCGGATAAACAGATACAAGGAGAACCTGGAACCCACTCACTCACCTCACGAAAACACTGCAGAATCCTCTTCAGGCTGACGGGCGATGACCAGGACGAAACAGCAGACCAGCGACGCCCACCATGACAGAACGACGGCATGTGCATGACATTAGTCCTCCACCATCTGTAATAATTGAGTGTTGTAATCATTAGAACAACTACTAACCAACAGAAAAACTGGTGAAAAGCCCTGAAAAAATATTTCACTCCAAAAAGAAGCAGAATAGAAGGAAAAATAAAACAGGAACATTTGAAAACCAACAGGAGAATGGAGAATGGAAGGAAAAAAACAAAAACAGGAACATTTGAAAACCAACGGGAGAATGGAAGATGTAAAATCAACCATACCAAAGATATAATAAAACGTAAATCACCCAAAGGCTTCAATTATTAGCAATGATTTTCAGACTGGGTAGCAGATCTCACTACAAAAATCCACTTAACACGAAGACACAGGAGGTCAAAAGGAAAAGAATGGGGGAAGAATATGCTATGTGCTGTGCATTGAATGTCTGCATCCCCGCAATTTCTATGTTGAGCACCTAATTTCCAAGGTGACGGTATTAGGAGGTGATTAGGTCGTGACGGTGGAGCTGTCATGAACAGGATTAGTGCCCTGCAGTAAGGAATGAGGACGGACGCTGTCTGTCCCTGCTGTGTAAGGACACAGCGAGAAGAGAAGCTGCCCCTCTGCAAACCAGGGAGCAGGTCTTCCTGCAGCGGCTTTCGTCCTGCACTCACCAGAGAGCTGCCTCACTGTTGAGCCAATGCCCTGGCCAGGAGGCATTCAATAAAGGGCCATTCTGATAAGGAGGAAGAGGAGAGGGACGTGGTGAAGAGGCAACTCCTCCCTGGCCCTGCGGTTCCCTGATCAGGACAGCTGACCCAGCTCAGGCTGCTCCCACCTCTCCAAGAGCCCCCAGACCTATGCTTCTACACTTGGCTCCCTATGTGTCTGTCCCTAGGAATCTTTAACCCAGAACCAAGCTGGGATCTCAATAAAGGAAAAAAATTTCTATCAAGCAGAAGACAGGCTGTCTTGCTTTTCTCCTGGAAAAATATACCCCAATCCATCTTCCCACAAGCGGTTTCTACACCATGTGTGCCCTCCCTCAAAACATGGCCCAGTCCTGTGCACAGCACTGAGACCCAGAGGCCATGAGAGTCTGCTAAAAACAGCTCTCAACATTCCCTGCTCTGAACT